TTTTATAATTTTGTTTTTACTTTTTAATATCACTTTTGAAATCGGTTCGATTCTACGTTGATACACTTGCAAAGGTTGTCTAAATATTGCATATTTGTACTTGTGTCTCTGAAACGTTTATAAAAGATCCTTGGAAAGCTTTGCTCCAACTTCCGTAAGCGTTCTCGAATATTTCGCGATTGCCTCTTTCTGAAAGTGAGGAAGATAATCGGGAGAATGACTCGCGTAGGTGCATTATGCTATGCTTTCGATAGCAATCACCGCGAATTGTCGCAGGAAAATGGCTTAACGCGCATTTGTTAGCGTAGATATTAGCTTTTACGATTATACACTTTATCCACGTTTTCCATGTTCTGTTGAGGAATACTGAAAGCTAATTTTGATATGGATATTTGAACAGATTAAATATACGAATTGCACAAGATAAGAATAACAAAATATACGTCAAGCAAAAAGTACCAAATAACGCAGGTGAGTCTTTTATTAACTCACATGTGTATGTTTCCTTGTTGCGAACGATGTAGCTCTTTATATTCATTTCTTATAGAAAGACGTGTGAGTTTTTCTTTAAAATTAAATTTATTAAAACAACAAATGATATACACGTTAATTATACAAAATAAATTTAAATTTTTATAATTCAATATTATGACAAGCATCATTTTGCAAGGAAAAGGAAAATTAAACAAAGTGACGAGCAAATTTTGAACAAGTTGCATCGTAACAATGAATGTATGTGTGTGTGTAATTTTTATAAAAATTATAAATAAATCGAGATAATGTGCCTTAATAAATTCTTTCTAATTTAATTTGAAACAATTCAAGTTTTGTTGATAAATGTCAGGCCTTTTAAGGCTTGTTCTCCTGATCGCAAACAAATGGCGAGAACTTGAAAAGCAACGGTACTACATTTTACAGCTGACCATTCTTACTGCTGGCACTTTTGTCAGAGTACGCGTTTACTCGCGCTCTTCCTGTATAGCTACATATACAACTTCCTGTATATTTGCGAATCCTAATGTAAATGCAGTATTGAGCGTTTTCTAGAATGATGAAGCGAGATGGGGTAAACGAATAAGGCTTGTCCTCCACGCGTGTGTGTAATAAGCCACGCGAATAAGATGAGACCGCTTTACCGCTAATTATATCCAAAGAAGTAATTACTTTCTTCCGTGCTTGGTGATCCGCGATAAAAGCCTAACCACATAGCGATAAGCTTCCTTGACGAAGAAACGAAATTGTTCACCGATGCGTGACTTAAAGTGCCATGTCTGTTAAACACTCTCGAAAAAAAGCCCGGATAACTGTGCGCACTTGGCCCGTAGTATTACTGGAAACGGCTGCAATATAGACGAGAAGCTGACGGCTCTAACTAGATAATCTCACGGGATGCTCGGAACTGTTTGCAATACCATGTTTCGATTACAGTAAATGTTAATATTGTATCATGTTGCATGTAGCAACGATAGTGTGTAAGTAAGTTTATGAAAAAAAAGACGAACAAAAGTAACTTTGATTACAAATTAATATTAGAAAAAAGTTGTCGCGATTATTTGTTCGAGTTTTAAAATTTGCATGCACATTGTCATAATGTATCTTATCTTTTTTATTTTTCTATAATGCTGAGCTAGATCAAACAGGTTCCAAATATTTATACTTAAGCAGATTTACCCGTTTCTTTAAATTTGACATCATTTTTTTGGTATTATCAATAATGCTTTCTATAAAAATAATAATAAGAAAATTTGCTTCTGTCCAATTTATGAAACAACCATACTTTTTCCATGTATTATAATTTGACATTTCTAAAAAAAACTTCGGTAAATATTTACTTTTAGGGGAACACCTCAGAACGACTCTAACTTTGATATATAGACATACATATTAGTGAATTTATGCTACTAAGCGAATTCCGTTATAAAAAAGCAGGCGGCAATTGTTTAAGCAAAAGTTTAATCTAAATTTCTTTGATCTTTTGCATGCATATTTTGGTATTATGATTGAGAGTAACATTGAAAAAGAAATAAAACGCCTGGGCAGAAACTGAGAAGCGGAAGATACTTTGCCCAAGTATTCACAACCCTTCTGACAATGCACAATTGTTTACCTTTTCATCAATGTATGGGCATCCGGATACTCACTGCGTGTTTTCGATATGCACTGCAACAATTTCTTTATAACAGCTGTTTTATAACAGCAGGCATCGTTTTAGGGGTTTTCTAAAGGCCTTTTGTGTTTTGTTTCGGGCGGAAAAAACGAGTTTTAAAACAGATACGGCCTGTGCGAACTCTCACTGCTCTCAGTGCTGAGTCAGCAAAAAATGTAAACAGACATATTTTATGTAGTTAAAGGCCATTGCACGTAACAAAGTTTTAGTCATAATCGTAAGGTTGTAAGAAAATAGACCAATCACAGTCGATTATTTTCCTCGTACTTGAAGAATAATCAAGTGTGATTGGTCTATTTTCTTACGGCCTTACGATTAAAACTAATTTTAATACACAGATGAAAGAGTTATCGAATGTGCAATTTGCAAGGTGAACAATGTTATTTACATACTATTAAAAAAAAAAACAGTTTTTTTCAAGCAAATATATTTGCTAAAATGTTTAGATATTACTTATTGCTAAAGTTAATGTTATTATTTTAGGTTAAGTGCAGAAGAAAGAAAACAATACATAACCAATCTATTGGACACCATTGAGTCTTCGGAAAACAAATATATCCAACGATGATGAAGATTGGGATATATCCCATCATTAGTACATTACAATCTTACAATGAAACTTCAGACAATGAGACGAACGGTACATATAAAGTGCAATAATTTGGAACAGGTCTGTCTAATCGCCAGGAGCGAAGGAGTCATCTTATTCTTACCGCTTCGGACTTTCCTCATCATCACGTTCCGTAGCAGCCGATGAAGTTGATGTAGCTTGATGTCGCGCGGCGTCGTATCGTAAACGTTTTTATTTAAGTATAGAGGAAGTTGGGGTAATTTGAAATACATGAGCAAGTTGAATCATCACGATATCTAGATTATTAAGGTGCAATTTCATTGACGCTAGAAACCAGAGGCAGCGTCAAGAAAATGTAGTGGGGGAAGAAGTTCAGACCGTATCAACTTTTTAGCGTACCGCAAAATT